CAGGAGGCTAAGGATCCAAAAAAGTTCATAGTACTGAAAAGGTCTTTGATAGGAGTGTATTTTAACATCAATGAAATACAATTTATATACATTGAAACTTGTTCGTGTTAAACAACCAGCAAGTATAATGAATCAAAAACAGTAAATAAACTACCTGGTGATAATATGTAGGCATCTATGTAAGAATAATAAAATTTCCCCAATTGTGACAGAAGTGAGACACTATCAAAGTCCAATCAGGTGGTTTGGAGAAAATTTGTCTCCATGGAATAGATTTTACAGGTTCTTTAGAAACACTGTTGCTAAGACGAAGAAGGTGAGGAAGTGTAGCCGAAATACCTGATTAGGGTGTGACGATTGAAGAACACGCTCAGATGAAGGAAACGAAGAGGAGTTCCGAACTTCCAGCCGCGTCGCAGAGGGGTACTTCCGGCCGCATCGCAGAGGAGTTCCGAACTTCCGGGCTTCCGCGATGAAGATGTCCTGTTCTCGATCGATGAGTCTCTGTGGCCGGCGGACGATGTCCTGTTCTCGATCGAAGAGTATCTGTGGCCGGCGGTTTTAGGAGATTAGAATTAGGCAATTTACTGGTGGCGACTAGGGAGTATATTGAATGTATGTTTATACGGAGTACAAGTTTTTGTTTTATTATTATTATTATTATTATTATTATTATTATTATCATTATTATTATTATTATTAATCCCTCCGTTCTAAAAACACTTCCTCTTTCATTTTTTCTACTTCCAACAAAATACTTCTACTTTCAATTAAAAAACCACTTTTACCCTTACTTTTTCATACCCTACCTATCACATCATACTTTTTCTCTAATAATCTATTCATCACATCTTACTTTTACTCATCACATCAAGGGCAAAATTGGAAGTCAACTACAATTTAACACTTCCTTATTTTTACCCTTGGTCAAATTAGGAACTCTTTTTGAGAATGGAGAGAGTATTATTATTATTATTATTATTATTATTATTATTATTATTATTATTATCATTATTATTATTATTATTATTATTATTATCATCATTATTTTTATTATTATTATTATTATTTCCGTCTACACCTTTACGGAAAGGTCTCGACGAGACACACAGGGGCCCGATCAATCAAAGACCCATCGGGATCCATCTTCGACCCAAAATCTTGCTTTTTAGATCGTTTATTTTGCACTTTTGTCTTTTTGGGTTTTTCCTATTTATTTACAGTTTTTTACTCTAAATTAAGATATTTAAATTAAATTTTAATATTAATAAAATCAATATCGACAGATAAAACTTTGTTGCTAAAACTATAAACAATACCGACAGAAAAATATTTGTTTCTAATACTATAAACAATATCGACAGATATGTTTTTTGTTGCTAATACTATTAACAATACTGATAGATAAAGTTTTGTCGCTAAAACTATAAGCAATACCGACAGATATAATTGTGTTGCTAAAACAATAACCTATAGCGACAAATATTACCCTTTCTGTGGATCAAATAGTTTTTTCCTTCAAATAATTTTATTTGTCGGTAATATTCTCTTTTTAGCGACAAATAAGGTTTCTGTCACTAAGGATCTGTCGGTAATGCCCACTTTTTTTGTAGTCACCCCTCAATGGTAATAAAAACCTAAGTATGTGAAATAACATTAATATACAACAAACAGTCATAGCATATATTAAATTCAACATAAGAAAAAAATCTCACAAAATAGGATTAAAAACACATTAAAATCTTTCAAGCCCTAAAACACTCATAATTAATCATACTCAAATTGAACAATAAAATCCAAATCAAGACATAAACGAAGAGGAAATTTAATAAATTTATGCACTTGAGGACTATACCTTAGAAAACATCCCTAATGCTAGATTTTTTGGGATAAGGCTTTGTATAGGGTGCTCTTCATCTCCAAGTCGTTGCCGGTGGTAGTGTCTCAAGATTATCCCTCTTAACGTTCCCCGTCGCTAAATGATACTTTGTACCCTAGCCTAGTAGCCTCGGCATCTTCTAGTTGGTTACTAACTGCTAGTGTTCCGAACCCTAGTCCTGACATCATCTCGTTCCTATAGTTGCGATCTCTGTTCTCCCGTCTCACAAATCGAAGAAGAAGACGAAGAAAAATGAGTATGAGGTGATCTCGTTTCCCCAATTTCATCTCTCTTCAATGATTTTATAATTTTACCCAATCGATTTGATAAACTCCGTGTCTGTGGATCGTCAGAGAAAGAAGTTTTTTTTCCTACGGAATGAGTATTCAAGAATCAAGATGATTGGGATTAATACAGAGTTTTTTTTCTAGTAGTCTATTGGGCTGACCCTTTATACATCGTTTATTTTACATTTTTGTCTTTTTGGATTTTTCCTACTTATTTATAGTTTTTTACTCTAAATTAAGATATGTAAATTAAATTTTAATATTAATAAAATCAATATCGACAAATAAAACTTTGTTTCTAAAACTATAAACAATACCGACAGAAAAATATTTGTTTCTAATACTATAAACAATATCGACAGATATGTTTTTTGTTGCTAATACTATTAACAATACTGACAGATAAAGTTTTGTGAGATTTTGATATTCGTTATGGCTGTCTATATTAAAACAACGATTTTGCTATTGGATATCGCTGTCTATAATGGGAAAGACACCTAGTTTATCAAAATTCCTTCAAATAATTTTATCTGTCGGTAATATTCTCTTTTTAGCGACAAATAAGGTTTCTGTCACTAAGGATCTGTCGGTAATGCCCACTTTTTTTGTAGTGCAATAAACTTAATGGATGCAGATTAATAAATTCGGCATCCAATGGCTGCTTGTTGGGATGCCACAAGGCTTTAATTTGTTCGTGACGAAGTGAAAAAGTACGTCTCTGAGATATATTCTCGGTCGTGGTTTAATCAAATCAGGTTCTTCCGTTTTTGCGGAGAACATCACACCACCATTGTACGTGTTGTTTGATTATTTATTTATTTATTTATTTATTTATTTCAAACAACTCTGACATGGAAGCTGCTAGGGAGATTCTAGCAAGGTTTCTGCACTTCGCATATATCCGGGTTAATCCAGAAAATCAGAAGAAGAAATGATTGTTATTATATAAGTATTCTGTTTTCCTAAATGTATGCGAACGTTTTAATATTAATGGAGTAATTTTGCTATATAAAAGAAAGTTTGAAGTCTGGAATCAAAACTCTGATCAGAAATTTGTTCCCAAAACTATCTTAATTGTGCTTTGTTTATGGAAGCTGTTGTTATATTTCTCCTCCTGGAAAGTGGGGTATATTTCACGTATGGTACAACAACCCAAAATTTCATAATGCTTCCTTGATTACTTAATTCTACCTGTATTAGACCCAAACCTCCCTAGCCATATAAATAAACAAAAATAAAATACGGGCCGGGGTACGATATTGGGGAGAAGGACGAAAAAAGAAGGGGTGTGATACGGATGGAATAACTAAATAATTTGTACGGAGTAATTTTGAACCCTAATTACTCTCAATTTATATTGCATATTAGCATAATGAAATACTCCATATAATTTTAAAAGTTTTCAATACGATAAATCCAATATAGTCATATTTATATTACAAGACATTGCGATTCTTATTTAATTGAAGCTTAAAATTTATCTAATTTGATTTAAAAAAATCGAATTAGACAAATACAAATTAGACAAGTACACTCGACTGGATGGGAGAAGTATAAGATTTTTAGATTCTAGGAAAAATTGATATAAATACTCCCAGAAATTCAAAATTATACAACAATACTCTCAAATTTAATAAAAGACTCTGGTGCTCCCAATTAAACTACAAGTTTACATTACTACTCCCATTATGCCTAATCAGCTTTTCTTATGCTTACATGTAAGTAATTATGCTTAGTTGACATGTTAGTTGTTGTTTTTGTTTTAATAAGAGGAAAAAATTATATAAATACTCCTTGAAATTCAAAATTTTACAATAATACTCTCAAAACCAAATAAATACTCTAGTACTTTAAAAAATATCTTCTTTTTACGTGTTACGATGTTTTATAAAAGTGGTATGAAATAAAAAAATAAAATTATATATCTAAAAGCTACTCCGTACATCATAAGATCTATAAAACTAGTAATGATATAATTATATTATTTTATCAAATATATAATTTAAATAGGTAAGCAAAGTTAATAAAATTTGATCTTGTTAATACTCTTAATAGTGAATAAAAAGATAATTTTTGGACGGAGGGGTATTTTGTATTAAAACAAAAAAAATAACTAAGATGCCAACTTAGCTTAATTAACCACATGTAAACATAGGAAAAACTGATTAGGTTGGAGTGGTGACGTAACCTAAAATTGTTTTAGCGTAACCCAATAAATTTAGAGAACATTTCCTTCTTAAATTCTGGAGACAAAGAGTCGGTCGGTTCGCAACGGGTCACCGACGGGCGGCGGAGAGTCTGAGAAGCCTTCACACCGGCCGGCGGCGGAGACGAGTTTAATTTGAATCCAAAAAGGTTTCGTCTCTTGCCTTTATTCTCAGCAAAGTCGTATTGATTCTGCACCGAACAAGTAAATTAATCTCAGTATCTATAAAAATGAATAGCTTAATCGGATCTCTGCTACGATTTTGATCTGAATTTGAAAGGATGCGTCTTGTGCTAAGTATTTAGCATTTTATTGTTGCTCCCTATTGTTTAGCTGGTTGAAGGAATTGGGAAAAGGAAATAATAATACTCGTAATAATTAGAATATGCGGAAGCAAGACTTTGAAATTTGGATTAATTTTGAATAATTGCTTCTGCCTAATCCTATGTACATGTCTCTAAACACTGATTGCCTGAATAATGTGTTCTTTCTCCCGCAAGGATTTTGGTGGAAATCAGTTATACTCTGTTCTAGAATGATTGATTTTTTCCATTGTATCCAATTTATTTTTCTACTGATCATGGCTGAATCAGTGTAAACAAATAATTTGCAACAACCTCTTTATTTTGATTTGATGTTAATAATTTATAGGAAAAAGACTAAAATAGGATTAAAATATTGAAAATATACCAGAATTGAAGTTCCATGTTTTTAATCTTGAAATATGAATTAAAATGCATATACAATGCCAATCATTGCCATATACATTACCAAGAGTATTGTGAAATGTTGTCATACATTACCACAGTGTAAACTCCTATTTTGGAAAGAAAAAACACCGAACCTCCCATTTTGGCACTTTCTACATGTTTTACTCATGTTTAGGGTGATTTCTTAAAATTTATTTCATATTTCATGTGTATAATATTTGAGAAATGTGGAAAGCGTAGCTCGTTTATTTTCACTCCTTTTTTTAATTTAAAAATAAAATGGAAGTGATGTCAAAAAGTAAAAGGTCTGAGCAGGTAGAAGTAATGGTGGGAATGAGATAAGGAGGTTAACTTAAGAAGGAAGAGGGCCCCTGTCATTGCTTAAGTGATAGCATTATGACATTCGCATCCTCTTCTACAACAGACAAACCCATGGTTGTTGGTGGAAAGAAAAGGCATGGATTGCTGTCTAGCATTGACTGTCAATCTAGACTTCTTCCAACAGAATTCTCATCGGACACCATTATGCCTTCCTAGCATTGATCAAACCTTGTTGCTGATCCACTTGAACCCTCCCTTATGCTCCTGCTTGAAAGGAAAAGAAATCAAAATCATTTTAGTTGTAAACTTTTGTTTTCTTATATTTTATTTTATACTACTATTTCTTTAAAAAAATTCACTCGTTAAACTAACTTCTAGTTTATATTCTTACTCATAGGACATTTTGCTTTGTTGAGTTTAACATTTTCTGGGGTTGTTTTCTGTCCTCCAATTTTCTTCTTATGATAATCAGCTTTCCAGTTTGTTGGGCTTTTTCCATTCTTTGTTTTTGTTTTTTGGTTTCCAATATCATATCGAGACCACTTGTGGCAATGACAACGGTGGTGGTCAACTTCACCAAATCAAAACGCTTGCGGTTTTATTCTTCACGACCTCTACACTCGAAATTGATTGGAATCTTAAATAATATAGTGTACTATTGTGTACTTAAAATGGAATGATGGGTTTCAACTTTGAAGAAACTCAAGCAGTTCAGTTTCTCATCAAATTTGGAGCTTATCAAGTAGGAGTTGAAGTAGCTAGTTAAGTGATTGGCTGCCATTATGGATTGATATTCTGGATTAAAATCATGTTTATTGACAGATTTGGCATTGACATATTTTCAAGTACTAATGATTGAATATGTTGTTCATGAAATGTTGGGAAATAAGGATGGAAATAGAGGTAAAATTTAGAAAGACAAAATATTGGGAGAAATATAAATCTGGTTCAAAAATTTGGTTGAATTATGTACTCTGTAAAACATAAGAAGTGTAAATACATGGAGGGAAAACATTATGGAGGGAAATGCGTTTTCTTTAGGCAAATAGTAGAATAAATGAAAGTGACACGTTTTACTCTTTTGCTTTCTATTTTCTATTAAGTTGAGGATAAACAATGCAATTATACGACAATGCATCTAAGGTCTTAAGAGAACAACATATTTGTTTTTCTTAAAGGGATAGGACTGTGTTTATCATGATCCCAATATTATAATGAGTTTTGTTGTTGTTGTTGTTTATTAAGGTAAAATCAAAACTAAAAAAAAAACAGAGTATTTCTCGAAGAATTTTATCCCCCTTTCCCACATGACTATGACTAGTTTGCGTTCTACTTGGTGACATTATACATGTTTGACAGACTCAAAAGGGCTCTCATTCTCACAGTTGGGATATCGTAAGGACGACCCAAAACTGGAGCAACCACTCAAGAGCATAATATGTCGAAGTCGTGCAAGGGCTTAGCGATGGAACTGGTGAAATGCCTCAGTGAATCTGACTGCGTCAAAGTAACTATCCATCTTCCTCTCATCCATTCAATTTTTTTTTGTAACTTAAATGTTCATTTCGTATTTGTACAGGTTCAGAATCGGCCATACAGAGAATGCGCAAAGGAGACGAGTCCATGTATTTCTAGTGAGTGTGTTGGGTTGAGAGAGACATACTTCAATTGCAAGAGAGGACAGGTGTTATATCTACTCTCCCTCCACAAATTTTTTTATCTTTTAAAATCTAATTTATTTGGTGTTCTATTTTGTGACCTCCCATAACTTCACCAAAAGTTTTCTCCTCCATCAGGTTGACATGAGAGCTCGAATACGCGGAAATAAGGGCTACTGAGACAATGGTTTGTTTGAAGAAGGATTGTTACTTTCATTAAAAACCATTACGTGTTAATGAGCTTTAGCTTCATAACTTTTTCGGCGTATGCGCGCGCGCGACATGTACTTGTGGTGCGAAGATTTTGCAGAAAGCATTTGGTAAGTCTTTTGCGTAGGGATAAGCACGATCGACTCTCTTTACGGGTTCAAGCTCTATCTTGTATTGTGAAGATATATTGTCAATAGAATTTTTAATTCACAGTTTATATAAGCCAGTGTTTATGGAGGCGAGACAAAGGGGGACGAAATCCCAAACACTAGTCGCCTAGCCAAAGTATGTGCAATCACATTATTAGAGAGGTTCTAGGAACAAAAGATAAGTAAAAGATTCAAACATGCCCAATTATTTTATTTCAATGCATTCTCCACTTATCACACTTTCAATCGGAACATTTTTTTAATGGGAATATTTTATCAATCTTGGTAGTTCCATCATTTAATTAATTTGGTTCTGCATAAGAAGATCAGATGTATATTTCGAATGAATCACAATATTACGGAGTGTAATGTAAGTCGGAGTATTTATCAAGTGAACGAAGTGGATTGACGGATTCAACTTTATTTTTAATGACATGTTGAAATTATATATTTGAGATGTAAAAATACTTTCGATTTAAATATTTCACAATTTGATTTCCGCGAGGATAAAGTCTCTTGGAAGCAGTTTTTTTTACTTTCGGATAAGGGCAGGATCATGTACACACTCTTTTTAGACTTTACTTTTGTGGAATTCAATCAAGTCGTTAGGTTTTTTTCAAAATAATTTAATTTGAATTTGTTATAAAAGTAAAAAGAAAAAAAAATATATTTTTCAAAATTTTATCAAAGATTTTATAAAACAAATAACATGACTATATTACTTAAACAAATGATACGATTCAATTTGATAATTGATTTTAAATTTTTATATCACGTTTCCATTTGCTTGATATTTGTTTGATTGCAGTTTGAAATGACAAAATTTAATCTCATGTAAAAATACTATAAATGGTTCATTACTATTATGATATAATATGGTACCATGTTAGCTCAATTTTTTTGCACACCACTAACGGTGGAGGGTATACATAACCTACATAATTTTCTTAATACATCATATCTCTCATCCACATCAAATTCTACTAATTTATACTACCTCCGTC